AATGCCATCCATTTCCCTGCAAAATGCCATGATCTTGTTATTTTTTAGTGCTGAGTAATATTCCATTGTGTATAAATGCCACATTTTTTAATCCATTCATCTATTGAAGGGCATCTAGGTTGGTTCCACATTCTAGCTATTGTGAATTGTGCTGCTATAAACATTGATATGGCTGTGGCACAGTTTTTCATACCCATGGTATTATTTGAGTTCCACATCTATTCTATAATACAGGTCAAATTATAATGCTCTTTTTGTTTTAAAATATTTTTTTAGTTGTTGATAGACCTTGATTTTATTTATTTATATGTGGTGTGAGAATCGAACCCAGTACTTCATACATGTTAGGCAAGCGCTCAACCACTGAGCCACAACCCCAGCCCACAGTGCTGTTTTTTACAGATGAGAAAACTGATCTCCAAAGAGGGGAGGGAGGTGATTTGTCCAAGTGCCGCAGTCTTGGCTGGGCACAAGATCACGAGCCACTCACACCTTGTAGATTCAAACAGCAATTCTTTATTCCCGAACTCACACCGGCCCTGTACAAACATGTTCTGGGAAATCCAAGTTCTGCCGCCCTTTCGCGTACTCCACGAGGCTTTTTATCCCTATTCCCAGCAGGAATAACCTTAAACCTTGAACTGCCTTAAACCCAGATTGTCTTAAACCGGGAACGCCCTAAACCCAAATTGTCTTAAACCGGGATACTTCCTAAAACCTGCAGGATACACCCTAAACCTGGATCCACCCTCGTCCTTGATCAGGGTCACCTTTCCAAGGCAAGTCCATTTAACATGGGGTATGCTGGCAAGGAAATTTCAATACGTCATTCCTACTTGGCAATGGCCCTCAGCATCCAAGCTCACCCAGTGGCTAAGCACAGGAGGTAGGATTTGAACTCAGGCCTATCCAACATCAAACCTTATGTTCTCCCCTTAGCCTGATGCCTTTGTTAAGTGTAAAATGTACCCTCACTAAATACATTTACTTCAAGATTTACTGAAACCTGTTTATTATGCATCAGGCATAGGCAATGGGAACACACCAATGAAGAAAACAAACAAAAATCCCTCCCCTCCACAGTTTCCATATCTTCTAGAGCTTCCATTCTGCCTGGCAGGATAACAACTTTACAGAAACACAGGGCATGAGGGCCGAGGACGAAGCTCAGGAGTGGAACACTTGTCTAGCGTGCATAAGACCCTGGGTTCAATCCCAGCACCACATAAAAAAAGAATATTATGTTAAATGATAAGTGATTTGAAGAAAAATAAATCAAGAAAGGGGGTTAAGGAGTGTCATTTTAGGTGGGGTGTTGAGAGAAGACTCGACGAGAAGGCGATGTCTAAGGCAACACCCCAAAACACCTCAGCTAACTACGTTCCCACTGGCAATTTTAGTTCTTTCCAAATTCTACTAAATTGGAAGCAGGGGTTAGACACGTACACTCTGAAACTTGGCCATGGGAAATAACAAGTGGAGCCAGCCAAAGCAGCCAAGTCACCAACTCCAAGGAGTGGGCCTCTCCACCCCCTTAGCTCCAAGACTGGCCAGCTCCAGGCCAAAGCAGTGGCCAGTGTTTGTCAGCAGTTTCCCCTTCCATTGCCTCGACTGGAGTGTAAGCACCTTGAGGTCAAGGTGAGTCCATGTAGCCCCCGGGACTGAGCACAGGTTCCAGCGTTGAGTCGGTTCTCAGCAAGGAAGTGTTGAACACTCACGGCCATGAGCTACTCACCCCCCTTGCCTCGGCAGATGGCCTTGCCCTGGTACGTGGACAGAGCACCCTTCTCCCAGGCCCAGGTTTATTCTTCAGCTTCTCTTTCTCCCTGGACTCTGCCAGCACCATCTTGCCCTAAGGAATGGATCATGGCTGACAGTCCCCTCACTCAACCTGCCTTTCAAAAGGGACTCTCCAGCGCTCTCCTCCCCTGCGCACCTGTGTCTCTTGGGCAGTCTTTCTGGGCAGCAGGTCCTTGGGTAGTAAGGGCAGCACTTCATCTGTACCCAGCCATCTCAGAACCCACCATGTACTCAATAAACTGTGGAGCACGCCCTTCTGGGATGAGCTAGCCCCATGAATGATGGCCTCTGCCACAAGCCATGTGGCGCCATCAAAGCAGCAAGGTCCAGCTTCCCCAGGTCTGCTGAGCAACTTAGGTAAACTCCCCTCTTCACCACAGGACTGGCAATTCGTCCTTTGTTGAGTTTTTGTTAAGATCTGGTTTGGTTTGGTTTGTATGCTCCTGAGTGGCCAGGCACTGGGGAGACAAGGAGGCATTAGATCCAGTCCCCTCCCTCAGGGAATGCAGTTTGCCACGTGGGTGGATGGAGAACTGCACAGAAATGCAGCTGAGCAGAGCAGGAGGGAGGTCACCTGGGCACATTCCCCAAAAGCAGCCTTGCCAAGGATGAAGACTGAGGGTGTGGCCCTGCCCAGGGGCCAGAGGGCAGGCAGCTCCCTCTTCCTTGGCGCCCCTCCCAGGGTGGCATGCAAACCCTCCCAGACTCAGCCCACCTCCTGCTCTTCTTGGCTTCTTTCTTGGATATTTACAAAGGAGTCCTGGGGCTTCAAGGAAGAAGGGAAGAGGAGTCTCCTGGAAAGAGATCTGAGCCCTTAGAAGGGAGGTAGGAGGTTACTGCCCTGTGACCCGGAACCCTGGCCTCGAGGCTCAGGAGGACGGCATCTCCCTCCTCCTTCCAGTGTCCCCAGTTATCCCCGGTTATTCCCAGAGCCACAGAGGGACACACAGGTTTTCACTGAATACCCCCTCCATGGCTGGATGGCTAGACGACAGTTCTTGGATTCAGAGAAAAAACAGACTCCTGTCATCAGCTTGTATTAGCCAAAGTGAGTCCAGAGAACTTTCTGGAGAGCAGCCAGGCAGCCTTCACTAACACCCCTCCTCTCTTCCCCTCCAGCATCCAGCGCCGGCTGTCCCTCCAGCTCCCCATCCTCCACCACGCCTACCTCCCGTCCATCGGAGGCGTGGACGCCAGCTGTGTCAGCCCCTGCGTCAGCCCCACCGCCAGCCCCCGCCACAGACACGTGCCACCCTCCTTCCGAGTCATGGTCTCGGGCCTGTAAGGGTGGGAGGCTTGGGCTGGGGCCTCCCCGTGACCGCACCATTGCCGGCAGAGGCGTCTGCCACAGGCACACTGTGGGCTCCGGCCGTGGAGAAGCGGGGCACCATGGCCRCCTCTCGGGACTGCGCGGCTGGCCCTCAAGTGGACGGGACGGGGGACGTGGCACCTGACCTCGAGCCTTATTTGTGAAGTTCTTATTCTTTCACAAAGAAGAGGAATGGAAATGACTTCTTCCATAATGTCTACAAACAAGGAGAGCTGGGATAGTTGAAACTTGCAAAAAACAAAACAAAACAAAAACAAAATTCTAGACAAGGAGAGAGGCCTAGACTCCAGCTAGACTCAAGGAGAAGCCCTGAGCAGCCTCGGGAAGAAGCCAGGGCTTCCGGAGAAACCGCCTCTGTACTCTGCACACACATCACCATCTGTGGCCCCCACCAGCCCTCCTCCACATGGGTGGGGGAGAAGGTGAGCAGGGCCACCAGGTCCCCAGCTGCCAGCCCAGCCCACCTCAGCCTCCCTGGCACAGGGAGTCCATGGGAAGGGCACACAGGCACCGGCCCTGGGGCTGGGGAACCMGAGCAGGCAGACTCGCATGCTCCCTGGGGGGGCCTCCATCACCGAATGAGATGTTTGTTACTCTGATAAATGCCACACATTAACACAATAACAACCGTTCCGGGACGTGGGGATTTAGGGCATGTCGCTGCAGACACGCTCTGCAGCATCACCGACAGTCTGTCAAGCACCCACCATGTTGGCCGTGTCCTTGTGTTCATATCAAGTGTTCCCGGAAATAAGGGGGACCACCCGAGCTAATCACGGAATGTCTGTTCCCAGCAAACATGATAGAGAAAGATGTGCACTTTAACCTCTCCCATCAGGGCCCAAGGGCTGGCTGGGATTTTTTTTTTTTTTTCCACTGACTTTGTTTCTGACCAAAGTGAATCGAGGGCATTCTGCTAAAAGACATCCCTGGTGTCACAGGGGAAGAGTTGCTGGCTGAGGGCTTCCCTTGGCTTCCAGAAGGCAGCCTTCCATCCAGATGAGCCRGTGAGCTCTCCCCTTGGGATCACTGGGGACCATCGGTCAGCAGACTGATTCCCATTCATAAGATCACTCTTCCCATTAAATGAACCCCAAAGAGCACTGGCGTGGGAGTCAGGCAGACCTGGGTTCAAGTCCTCAGTCCCCTTGACTCCCCGCGTGACCTTGGGCAAGTCACCAGTTTCTCTCTGAGCCTCAGTTTCCCCTCTGTAACAGGTTGGGGTTGAAATAACACCCGTCCTGCCTACCTCACAGGGTCACTCTGAGGATCGACACCTGATCTCATCCAGGAAAGCTTTGTCCCAAACAGTAAGCAGCCCTGACCTGTGAGGTACCAGTGTGACTATGACCTTCAGCCCTCACTACAGCCGGGGTGCGGCCCAGAGAAGCTTCCGGTACAGCCCTCTGCCTGAAACAACCTGGCTGGAGGGAGACTCCCAACGACTTTTCTGACATTCCTAGACAGGTTCATTCTTTGCTAAAGAAAGGCCTGAAGGACAACGTCCAGGACGTCTGCACAACCGAGCACTTCGCTCCATCCCTAAAGAATCCTAATGGCAGCTTCAACAGGCAGGCAATAATCTCTTCCCAGAACCACTGCAGTCAGGAACACRCTGTTGYCACCACCAGGCTTTGACGAAAGGGCCCACGGGAATCACCATCGCCAACAYTTCCAACACCCCAGTTCGCGTAGCTTTCCCCTCCCCTCCCTCAAGGAGAGGTTATGGAGGTACTGTAGCTTTTAGGGAAAAAAAAAAAAGTTCACACATCACAGGTCAAGTTGAAGTCATTCTCTGTTTAGGCACTAAAAATCGTGTTGTCACTCTGTGTATTACCAGTATTTACTTGCTTTCTTGATTTCACCAAAACCAAATTTAATTTAAAGGATCACATTAATTTTTCAAAGGGAAAGAGACACTTAATTGTACATAATGTATACACACACATGCACACACATGCACACACAGCACACACACAAATACCTGTAGAAATATTATTCCAGCATAGCAGGAAAAAACAAAACTAAAGTATTGGACTGCCGGAGGTGAGCGTGCGTCTGTAAACCTTTGTGACTCCCAAACGTGCTCTGTCTTCTAGGTTAACCCACAAAGTACATTCTCTTGTCTTACTGATCCTGTAGGTTTACCCATCTTGTTTTTTAATTTTCCGAGAATAACAAGACACACAGAAGTGACTCTAGCTATTCCATGGTTCTGTTCTTTTATATGCAGCAAACACACCCGGTCCATTTCCCAAGAGGCTTCGGCCTGAAGGCATTTTCCAATGATGTTTAGTGCACAAATGCTTTAAATTAGACTGGAACTGCCAGAATCAAATGTAAATGAGGAATTTCTCGTACCCCTACTGCATGGTATCAATTTTTAATAAATTGTTGCAAAATTGTTTTTATGAATAAAAGGAAAAAAAATTTGTCTTGAATGCCTCCTCTTCCCCAAATGGAGGTCACCTGGCACCATGTTCCTCAAAGAGCCACTAAGGGGCTGAGAAACAGCCTGGGGGTGCCTGGTCAGCTAGGCCCTTCCTGCCGTCAGATGACAGTCACATGCCCCACCACCATGCAGCTCCAACTTCTGAGTGGCTCAAGGGTGGAAACCTGACTAAGCAGGGCAATAAACCCCTTCCCAGGAGTCCTCCATGTAGAGGTATTTAGTCTGCCCTGMAAGGGAAAAATGGAACCCACTGAGAGAAACAGGAAGAAGATCTGGGTACTGATGGGGTCCAAGTCCATGGTTAGCTGCTCCCAAAGGCCAGTAGCATCTGGGCCTTTTCCTGCTCAGTTGGTTAGGCCTTCCTTGAATACTCTGTTCTTCCAATAAATTGCCCTTTTTGCTGGGGTTAATCTGGACTAAGTTCCTATCAATCGCAAACAAAAGGTTCCTGATTGACATGGAAAAGTCACTCACTCCCCAGCCTCAGCCCTCTCTCAAGGYCTTTGTGGCCTGTCAAGACTTTGCCCATTGCTCTTTCCCAGCCCCTGCTGCCTCTCCCTGCACCCCAGGGTGCCATCTAAAGGCTGTGTACACTTCCTGCATTGTGCTGGGCCCTCAGCCGGCTGCTCCATCTCATCCTCCTAGTTCCCCTGACAGGAATTCCTCTCTTCCTCTTTTCTGAGTTGAGGACTGTGCTGTATCTCATGGCACTGGGGACACGCTTACATGGTCCTCTCCCCACCTGCATCATGAGCTCCCTGAGTTTGGGAGTCATATCTGCTTCCTCCATGTTCTACTAAGTAGCCATCTTCCCAATGGCTCAAAACAGGTTTCAATGAGACTTTGCAGCATTGAACATTTTGGCCAAGTTGTGTCGAGACTGGTTGCTGAGACTGGAAGAGAGAGCAAGGGTAGAGGAGGCCACAGCAGGCTGGAGAAGTCCCAGGCAGTGGGACCAGGTGTGGGCCTCAGAAATGAGGGGGCTGGATTCAGACTTCACAGGAGAGCCATCCCCAGGTCAGAGGTTTGAAGTGCACAGGATCCTCTATCATGGCATCTGCCTAGGAGCAGGCCTCCTGAATCCTGGCCCAAGAGAGCCCTGCTGAATGCCTGCCACTCCAYACTACCTTTTTTACAGTCCTCCTGTATGATACAGGATGTTCAAGGATGTAGATGGTTCACCCAAGGTGACCTCACAAGCCCATTGCAAAGAGGAATGATCAAGAATCCTGACAGGTCTTCCTTCTCTGTCTGACCTAGACTCACAGAAATGAGCAGTAAGAATTGGAAAAACCATCCTATCCAACTCTTCATTGTATAGGTGGGGAAACAGGCCCAGTCACTGGAGCCAAAGTCAATGAGAAGGTCATAAGAGGACAGGTGGGAAACCCAGATGTCCTGGCTGTGAGACTCGTTCTTTTCTTCTGAACCCACTTCCTCACACTCGACCCAGAACCACAGTAGAACAACAGTGAGGGAGAAGAACATGGAGTCATTTCTCAGGGGCTCCGACTCTCCATGTGGAGTCCACTGATGGAAACGTCTCTTCTTAGCACCTCTGAAAGGACAGATGTCCCCTGCACTCAAGAAAATCCTCCTATCATCATCCTCACCCAAGTTCTTCATGCCCCACTTGGCCTTGAGCAGCAGGGTCTGTGTGAACTGAAGCCCAGGGCAAAGGCCCAGAGGGCAGTGTTGCACTTCACACTCCATTTTTTTTAATAAACTTTTTTTTTGTCTTCCTTTGATTATGACCAGCTCATTTCTGAAGTAAAAATAAAATAAAAACACATTTCCAAGCCTCAAAGAAAGGTATTCTGGAGTTGAAGCCATTTGAAAAGCGCTGTCGCCCTGGATCATAGTGGCAACACTGAGGTCCTCTGAGGGACAACAGGAAGAAATTTCCAGAAGCAGCCAGCTAGGGCCTGACCTTCAAAGCAGTTTCGCCTCTGCAAGGATCTTCCTGAGATCAGCTTTCAATGCCTAGAAGCCAGGGACAGGAAGAGGAGTGATGGTGGGTAGACTGTATAAACAGACTGGCAGCCACTGGCAGTACTGCCTCTTGGGCCCCCTTTCTGCCCTCTGAAGTCACAGTCCTGGCTTTGGGAGGAAGGATAGGAGGAAATCTGGAACCCCGCCCTTGTTCCCACCTAGACACAGGGATTGGTTCAGGGATATGTTCATTACCCAAGCCCAAYCAATCAGAGCCCTTCCCAGAGTTTCTGCCCGCTATTTTCAGGAGGTTTGAAATCTCTTCTACTTTGAAGGTTGGAACTGACCCCTGATCCCCTCATCTGGGCTCAAGGAGAGGCAGCACCTAAAGATGCATCTGCATTGAGTGTCTCCGTTTAGAGCAACTAAGTCTCATTTTTTCAGCAGAGAGAAGGGTTTCTGTCACTTAGGACCAAAAGAAATCTGTGGGAGCCAGGGGATCTTCACCTGAGTCTCACTGTGGTCCATAACATTGGAGAATTCCACCTTCCTCCCATCTCTTGGTCTTGAGACCTGCGGGAAAGATTTCCCTGGCCCACACGCTGCTGGGTAGGGAGAGGGGTAGGGATACCCACAGGCTCCTGAGGGCTGAGGAAACCTTAGGAGGCTGAGAAGGTGTCATTGGACTARCCTAGAGACTCAGGAACTGGCACCAAGATACGCACCCCCAGGAAGGACCCGTGTCTGTTCTGCAGTTCTTTCTTTGTCACCTCTTTTCCTCCCACCTCCTGGCTTGTCGTACCTCGCTTGGATTGGGGAACCACCCAATGCATGAAACCCCTGACAGTCCCAGAGGCTCACCCAGTCATGCCTGGTCTCACTCAGGGTCTGCCGGGAGATGACAGTTCACTGCCTGCTTCCTCCAGGTCCTGCTGGGAGGCTTTGGAGCCCCCAGTGAGGCCCCTGCACTGAACCAGGTCCTGCACCGCTGATGACAGCATGTGATAAGCAGACAGCCCAGACTGGGGAGTCGGACATGCTTCCTAGGGACCTAACCTCCAAACAAGGGCTTGCCACCTGTACAGTCATTTTAAATACCCCATGATTGGCTTGATGCTCTGTCGTCACTGTTTTAGAATTCTTTGTGACTTTTGAACAGAGTGTTTAGCATTTTTTTTTTTTGAGAGAGAGAGAGAGAAAGAGAGAGAGAGAGAATTTTTAATATTTATATTTTAGTTTTCGGCGGACACAACATTTTTGTTTGTATGTGGTGCTGAGGATGGAACCGGGGCCGCACGCATGCCAGACGAGCGCTCTACCGCTTGAGCCACATCCCCAGCCCAGCATTTTTTTAAAATATTTTCTTTTAGATGTAGTTGGACACAATACCTTTATTTTATTTATTTATTTATTTTTTTATTTTTTTTTTTTTTAAAGAGAGAGTGAGAGAGGAGAGAGAGAGAATTTTTAATATTTATTTTTTAGTTCTCGGCGGACACAACATCTTTGTTGGTATGTGGTGCTGAGGATCGAACCCGGGCCGCACGCATGCCAGGCGAGCGCGCTACCGCTTGAGCCACATCTCCAGCCCCTATTTATTTATTTTTATGTGGTGCTGAGGATTGAACCCAGTGCCTTGCACGTGCTAGGCGAGCGCTTTACAGCTGATCCACAACTCCAGCCCTGAGTACATAGCATTTTAATTTTGTCGGGGACCCATAACCAGCCTGTACCTAGACCTGAAGACAAGTAAGAGCCAGCTAGCCTGCAAAAGAAGAAAAAAAAAAAAAAGCAAAGCATGGGGAGGGAGCTGACCTGTGGAATGCAGGTACCTGCTGGGGTTGCTACAGCTGCCCCTGAGAGCAACTGGGCTGTTGTGCTAATTATTTACCCTGGAGTTCCTGTGGCCTCAGATTTCTGGATGATAAGACAGCAAGCATCCTCTCTGTGTGTGATGAGGGGTCTTATCTCAAAACTGTAAGTCCTGAGCCTGCATTTCTACTCCTTCACTTACATAGTGTGTGGTTTTGCATGAGCTACTAAACCTCTCTGAGTTTCTGGTCCTACATCTATAAAATAGACATAATGCCTCACTCAGGGTTGTTCTGATGGCTAAAGGGGCTCAGGTAGGTAAAAGTGCTTTATAAACGTTGTTCTGCTCCCAGACAAAAGGAATGCTCATAAGGTGAATCGGTATAGGAAGCACCGTAGGGTGGGCCACGCCATCCAACTCCAGACAGAAGAAGTCATCTGAGGAGGGACTCTTAGCCAAAGCAYCTTGGCATGCTATGTGGGGGGAAAGGTGAGAAAGACAGAACGACAGTTCTGTTAGGAACAGCGGGAAACTTGGTGGGGGAAGAGAGGAGTGGGGGTTCTAGAAGGGGGCAATGGTCAAGTAATGGCATCATAGCTACAAGACTTAAGAATAGGGATATGAAGCAGTTGAATTTAAGTCATTTGCGTTGGCAGGAAGTAAGCCCTGTCCCTTCTCTCCCTTCTCTTCCTTTCACTCCCTCAGCAAAATGTCCCTAAACCTTCAGGAACATTCACAATACAAGCAAAAGTCTTGTGGGTTTTGATGCAAATGCAGGAAGAGAACAAATTCTGCTTGGAAAGAGGCCAGAGTAAGGGAAAGAAGCAACCACAAGACGAGAGGGGAAAATATGCTCTCTGCACAAGCAGGAATAMGGAGTAAGAAATGACCATGAGCACACACACTCTCAGAAATTCATGGAAACATTGGAGAGGAACTGGCCTTTCCCAGAATTAAGCATGGGAAAAGGGGGAGTTCGGATTAATCATCTGGGCTCACTGGGCATGCTCACCCTTACTGACATGGGGTGACATGGATGCATTAGCCTGTTTTGCGTTTCTATAACAGAATATCTGACTCTGTTCAGCCTCTGGTGAGGGTGCCCTTAGCTGAAGCACAACATGGTGGAGAAGTGGAAAGGGAACTGGCTGGGTACAGAGAGGGTCAAGTGTATGGAGTGGCCTTGCTTTATAACAACACATTCTCAAAAGAACTCACTCCCCAGCACCAGCATTAATGCC